CCCCCCCCCCCCCCCACCGTTCTAGCTGCCCGTGGTGGCCACCTTGCTGGTGGCGTTTGCCGGCGGGTCCGCCGTCGTGAGCTCCTCGCAATCCTCGACGAGGGTAGACCCGTGGCACTACTCCTACTCCACTGACGTTTGCGTCGAGACGGTGAACCACGGGATGTGGAAGGTGAGTCCTAAGTCAGTCGCGACCGAGGTTGCCGCAACCCAACTCTAGTGTGTAACTGTCGGCACAGGGAAAAAAGCCCCGCAAGCAATTGAAATCCCCGGTGTGGTTTTCGTTCGGGTTCCTCACGAACCACCACGTGCTTCCGAGTGGGAAATCGTAGGACAACGACCACAATACGCCCCAAGACATATATGCCCTGCCCAAACCAAAAACAGGAATACTAAATAAAGCATTAAGAAGCAACACCTCCATACACTCCTCGTTGGCGTTCCTCGGGTAGCACCACATCCTTTCAGAGTGAAGAACCGTAGGGCATCGACAAGTATTTCCTCGCGTGGGAACTCACGTTAGCGTGGCGCGCGCATGTGTGTGTGTGTTTGTGGTGACATGCAGGTGGAGGCAGGGCAGTGCCAAGAGCCCGGGGAGGCGACGGCGTACTGCAACAGCCACGAGTGGAAGTGGGTGGACGTGCCCGACCAGTGCCACGTCCACTACATGCCCCCGTCGGAAGTGGAGGGAGTCCTTAAGGGTTAGTTGAGCTCGTCATGTGCTGTTTTTGGTTTTGTTGTAAACGCTTTTTTTTTTTCTGTAGAAAGTGTACAAAGAGAGGCTATTCCTGGTGCATTTAACAGCTTTGTGAGCGTACCCTGTTGGAGGTGTACGCGTCGTTCGGCTGTGACTAAGAAAGGCGTCGTCCTTATCAGTTGGGCCGGTACGGGTCTTACAAGGCACCACTGAGCAGAAACAGGAAGTTTTTTTTATGTGAAGAGATAATCATTAAGTCATACGCGCCGCTGCTAAATTGTCTTGGGTGTGGTGGTCACGATTTTGCGCGTTGACTATTTCCCTTCCGCCCCCCCCCCCCC